TCATTCGGTTATTTATAATTACTATCTCCAAGTTTCATCAATTAAGGTTCAAGCACTCTTTCTCAAGAGACTTGAAGTTTTCTTTCAAGTAACACCAAATTTCCATTTATTTCATTTTCTTTCCAAGATATTCGAACCATCAACAATCAATTACACAAAATTCCATTTTTATTAATCTTGTTCTCGATTTGTATCTTCGTATATTATCTTATTACTCATAGATCATAAACCATGGATCGTAAGCTTCCTCGACCCGGAGGGAGTACACTTACAACCACGTAGGTCGATATATTTACACATAGAAATATATACTTATATATAGCACATATAGATTACAAATAAACCATGGATCAAGTACTTTCTTCGACCACGCAGGTTTACGAAAACCATGGATCGAAGTTTCCTTATGATCACGCAGGTCTAGTATATATATATATATAGATACATACATACATAAAATTTAAATTACAATATTATTCTTAGTTCTTCAAGATTATATCATTTAAAGCTTAGATTCTTACATGCATGGATGATCTAACAATACACAATTAAAGTACTATAACTTCCCAAATTTTCGGCCATTAAGAACAAAGAAGGAGAAAGAAGAAATAATATTGGTGAAGAATGACTTGTAGCAAGAATATGAAATTCTCACCTACTTTCTCTTGGGAATATGAAGGAATTAGTGGATTGAATAACCCACTACAAGAACCTTGAAGAAATTATAAAGAAATTAGAAGAAAATATTAGGAAATTTTCGAAATTGAAAAGGAAGAAGAAAAATGAGAGCTTTCTTACACTTCTAGTTGAAGAAACTTCTTGTTGGAAATGAGGAGAGATTTCGAGCTTCCTACACTAATAATTTTGAAATGGAGGAGAAGAAGGAAGAAGAATATTTTCTTAAGAGCTTTAAGATATGGTGGAGAAGATGAAAATTCACTTGGGTGTTGGGTTCTATTTATAGAGTTTTGCAAGCATTTGGGGGTGTTCTTGGAATTTCCTCTTTAGGTGGGTTGGATTGGAGATGGTTCTATGGCTTGAGCTTGAGTAAAAATGGAGTCTTGGTGAGGGGATGGTGGTGATGGCCGAATTTAGGGAGAGATGAAGAAGAAAGAGAATGGTTTTCAAATGCTTAGGTGGAAAGAGAGAGAAAGTGGGTCTTGAATTAAAAGGTAAAGTGAAGTATCATTCTCAATGAAGAAGGTACAAGCCACTTAAGCCTTCAATTCTCCCAATTAATGAGTCTTTCTACATTAAAGAATTGTACACATGGAAAATAAAATCCATGTGTGTCTCCACATGGCCGAAAGTTACAAGAAGAGTGGGGGAAAATTTATTTCTAAGTTTATTCACTCATTTAATTATCTAATATGCATGAATTGATTCTTTTTCTAAAAATTTAGTGTATGCATAAATATATTCCAACTATCCAACTTAAATTCTAGAATGCAATAATCTAATTAAAATATGAAGATTTTCAATTAGTTATTTTTCGTGTAAAAATTTTCAAATATTCGATCCTAATAAATCAACTAATCACATAATTTAAGTCACACATAAAATACATCAAGAATGCATATTTAATTATGCTAGCTCATAATAAATTATCCTATTAGCACACATAAAATTTCTAAACGTAAAATCTACTTATGAAAAAAATAATAAAAATATAAAACGAGTTATCCGAAAGGGCGGGATGTTACATTATTGTTTTATAGCTTTTCATCTTTTTTTTTTTCTCATTTTATTTCATTAAATTTATTATCAATATTGGGTAAAGTTGAAAAAATAATTAATTCCACTTTGAAACTCTAAACTGATACGTAATATAGAATCATTATATGACTAAGGGTATCTTTGGTTTCTTAGAACCCATTGGATTGATGAATTTATCCGACAAGATCTTAGCTTAGGTTTATTGGACCGAAGTCCCAGATTGATCACCGGCCCGGTCTACTATCCTCGAAATTAATGATATTCCATCCGCCCATATGAGGTTCGATTACACAATCCGAATTTTTTCCAAGTTCCATCTGAATTAACTACACTACCATATACAATTTCAAACAACTAAAAATAAACCTGGTATAAATATCGTTCTCACTCCCCCAATTTCTTTGCCCTAGATTTCTTGAATAGAGGTTTGTATACATATATTCCCTTTTGCGTTTTTATTTTTCTATTTCGTAGTATTCCATTTGAAAACTAACAACTGCAAAATTTGGTGTTTATATATTGTTGAAGATTCCAGTGGTAGTTCAGGAGCATTGCATTTGTCGACAGACATCTCAAAGGCCAAATTTTGAAGGTTTGTGTAGATTGTCGTCAATCAATTATTTCTTCACACCAAGCTTGTTTCTGTTGCTGACTACTTAAAATTTGTTGAAACACATGTGGCAGAAAAAATGTCAACAGACACTTCGAAGATTTGCTATTTTTCCAGATTTGGTCAAGATTTTTTTCTCCCCACTTATATTTTTTTCTCCGTTTTGGTTATTGTTTTAGAGTGTTGTTCCAATTTGTCAAACAAGGCCCGCAATTTTCAATATCCCCTATTTGGTTTTGATCTTTGCTCTTTCAAGGTTAGTGTTTTCCTGCCTTGTTATTTTTCTTATTTTTATGTTTTATTAAGCTCTTTGTGGTGTTTGTTATGTGGATGCAATGATATTAAGGGTTGAGTTAGTTGCGAAACTATACTAAAAAGTAAAAAAAATTTACATAACTGGTCATACAGATTTTTGGAGAATAAATACTAATTTGCAAAACATAAATGAGTGGTTCCAATTGTTGTGATGCTTGTATATTTTTATTTCAAATTATGTATTCAATACAATTTTATGGTTTGTCAACAGCTCAATTTGATTATATGGATGCCAATACGGAATAAGAGGTTATCGTAGTAATGGCTTTTCAATTAGTTGAGCAAAAAAGAATGATTATGGTCATGTTTACACAACTTGTGCGATTAATTAGAAAACTTAGGAATGGTAATGTCAGTGGTCGTTGCTATAGTTTGAAAAGTAACATACCAATTCTAATACAATATCTATCATACTGATGATGCTATAAACAAATCACCTTAAATAAATGAGGTAGGATGAGCTAGGAGAGCAAAGTTGATCACTGGCTCACGAGCTAGATGGTCCTGAGATACCTGGGAACAGAGAACACGTGAACTAGGCCGGGGGTTGATCCGGCGGAAACCCCTCCGACGCTTAAGTCAGACGTGCGGATATTGAAGTAGTTGAGAGAATAGGAATTGTAGTATTACTCAGATAATAGGGCGTCTCTTTAATAAATGAATTATGTCTTTATTTATACCTTGTCGATTGGGTTGTGGTTAATTTGTTGGGCCAAACCTTATTTGAAGGTAATTGGGTTTTCGTAATAATATTCTTCTAGATCAGGCTCGTGGCCCAGTACGTAGAGAAATAGTAGGCTAATTGGGCTGACCCAATTATGCATATCATTAGCCATCCACTCTCGAGTGGGTGTGGGAGCAAAGTCGAAATGGGTACCGGATCGAGTCGATAGTAGATTGGTGTTGTAGTATTACGTTAATCGTTGGCGTGGGGTGGAGAAATAATAATTTGTATTATTACGTCTGAGAGCGCGCGCGATTTGGTGAATCGCGTTGAAATTTGCACGCAATTTGGTGAAGCGCGTTGAAATTTGCGCGCGACTTTGAGAAGCGCATAAAAATCCGTGCGCGATTTAATGGAGTACGTTGAAATTCGCGCAGGATTTGATGTGGAGGGGGAGCTGACGCATGATTGGATGGAGTAGAGAGGGCTGTTGAGCGTTGGAATTCGCGCGGGTTGGTGGGCTGCCCCGCGATTGGATGGTGGGGGAGGGGGGAGCCGCGCGATTTGACTGCCTCGGGAGAGGCACGGACACGTGCGAGGCACGCGCAGAGAGAGGGCACTGGCTCGTGCTTTGCACCCGCGGAGAGAGTGCGTGAGATGGGCGCGTGCAATGCACGCGTGGAGAGAGAGAGAAAGCTTGGCGTGTGTGATGCATGCGCGAAGAGATAATCTGCGCAGTGCACAATGCGCGTGACACACACGCGCGCACTGGGCAGTTTTTTTTCCCAACTCATTCGTGCGGACCGAGGCGCGCACTTTGGAGCAATCGCGCGTACTGTGCTTGCATTTTTTTTTTTAAGGGCACGTGGCCCGAGAGGCCCTGAATTGTAGGTTTTTCATTTTGTCTTCATACTTGGAGTAGATGGGTTTGCCCACTACTATTTCATTTGACGTTTATATTTTATGACATTGTCATTGGCATTGTGCGTGATGTACTTGATGAGGGGATCAGTCTATCAAGATATTTTGATGGGGATCGTGCCCATTGTTAGACCTCATTGGTCGTAAGTACGTTAGGACCGTGGCCACGTTTTAGATGTAGGACCCTATGAAGACAGATATAGAAGTTCATGAAATCAAGCTGGCCAGGCTATATAGTTTATCATAACATCTGTAAGTGTTCACAGGGTTAATGTTGACTTGAGCTAATAATTATGTAGTGGAAGAGCAATAACACCGAGTGTAAGGAAAATAACTTGTTTATTCATTGCTTGAAAATGTGAAGGTTACAAGCCTACTTGAACCGAATGTAAAGAAACAAAGTAGGGAGCGAATCGCTTGAAATAACTAAACTTGTAATAAGTAGATGATATAGGGGTTTCGTCCAATTGATGTAAAGAGGTGAGAAATTGCATCATCCTTAAGGTAAGATAGTCCTCCGGTTTAGGATGATGCGATCGTTAACAATGTTATGGGCTTGAGAGACCCCAAGTGTCATTGACATCATTGGAAGTCTAGGGATGTAGAAGGAGATTGTCAATGAGACGTCGACGATTGTCGTCGGCCATCTCATCGCCGGGTGTTGAAGTGATCTTCATCTCTTTTCCTCTTAGGAGGAGAGAGGGCCGAAGCCTCTTCGATGCGTACATATTTCTCAACGCGACATAGTAGCTCTTCCAGAGTGGTTGGAGGTCTTCATGAAATCGATTCCTTAAATCTACCTTCCTTCAAGTTTTGTTGAATGATTCCAAAGAGCATGCTTCCTCCCACGTTAGGAACTTTGTGAGCTGCCTCAACAAATTGTTGAATGTAGTTGCGGCGGGTTTCGCCCTCTCTCTGGGTGATAGTGAAGAGGTACGCGGGATTCTTAGCGTACTCTTTGTTGATAGCGAAATGGTGGGTGAAGCGATCCGTTAGTTTGGAGAGAGCTTCAATTGACCCAGTAAGCAAGGCGTTGTACCAGCTCAATGCTCGTTCGGAGAGCGTTGTGCGAAATATCTTGCACATCGCCGTATCAGTTGGGCCATATAGATCTGCCATGGCGTAGAACTTTTCAAGGTGTCTTGTGGGTCACTAGTTCAATCGAACTGCGGTAGACTCGAGACCTTTACCCATTGGGGTAGTATCTCATTGATTATTGCGACAGTGTAGGGACTGCGCCTTATTGGAGGTATGGCCCTTCCACCAATATGATTACCTATGCAGGGAAGGTGATTTGAGCGAGATATCGACTGTCAATTTCATCATCTTCAGCATTGTGTGGAGGTACTCGTTGGCGAGAGGCGTTGCCTCTTGAAGGTGAACGTGGGTCTTGTCGCCCAGTTCAAGCATTATGGCGATGAGTAGATTGTTGCATCCGAGACCTAGGGTCTGAGGTGGATGTGTTATCCGGTGGCGGTGGAGGTCGTTGTGCCATAGGTGGAGATGCAAGGGGAGCGTTGACTCCCGTTGTGGTGATGTATTGTACCACTGCTTCAGTGGCAGCTCGAGCTGAAACTTCCGCAATCATGTGTTGGGGGGCCTCTTCGGTTATCTAAATCGTTCGAGGAGCCGGGAGTTGTGGATCATGTGGGGGATTTATCTGGACCTCAAGAGGAGAAAATGGCAAGCCAGAGCCTCCGCGAGGTGGGAGGTTGTTAGCATTGGCACGTTTTCTCCGAGTAGATGACTCAGGGACATCATGCGCGCTACGTGATCTTGTATGCTTTCCCACAGACGGCGCCATTATGATGATGCTATAAATAGATCACCTTAAATAAATGAGGTAGGATGAGCTAGGAGAGCAAAGTGGATCACTGGCTCACGAGCTAGATGGTCCTGAGATACCTGCGAACAGAGAACATGCGAACTAGGTCGGGGATTGATCCGGCGGAAACCCCTTCGACCCTCAAGTCAGACATGCGGATAAATATTGAAGTAGTTGAGAGAATACGAGTTATAGTATTACTCAAATAATAGGGCGTCTATTTAATAAATGAATTATGTCGTTAATTATACCTTGTCGATTGGGTTGTGGTTAATTTGTTGGGCCAAACCTTATTGAATGTAATTGGGTTTTCGTAATAATATTCTTCTAGATCGGGCTCGTTGTCCAGTACGTAGATAAATAGTATGCTAATTGGGCTGGCCCAATTAGGCATATCACTTACCTTGTTAGATGGAGTGGTCTTGTTTGCCGACAAAATCTATGCATTAACACCGATACATTTTCTCGATTGTGTTTTCTTCTTGAGAATGTTGGTGGTATAGTTCCAACTAGGAATGTCTCTGTGGTTGAGCAAGTTGCTTTGTTCTTACATGTATTATCACACCACGAAAAAACTGTCACAATTAAAACAAATTATATGAGATCCGGTTACACAATTATTATTCATTTCTCGGGTATTACACACTCTATTAAAACTGCACAACGTTATGCTTGTTATGCCTGAACCCGTTGACTCAAATTGCGATCATGCGCGTTGAAAGTATTTTGAGGTAAAAAATTGAGAACGTCGTAAATAAATACTTAACCAATCATTAATAAATATTAGCACTGTCTTTTTTTTTTTTTGACAATGTCATAGGGTTGTTTAGGTGCATTAGATGGGTCATATGTTCCTACACGAGTAGCACTAGTCGATAAGACACGGTATATGAATCGAGAGGATACGATTAACGTCTTGGCAGTGTGTGAACTTGAATTTTGTTTACTTGTTGAGTGGTTGGGAGGGATCTGCCGCTGATAGTAGAATTTTACGGGATGCAGTCACTAGATCCGACAGTCTTCGTGTTCCAAATGGTACGAATTAGCATTTCTTAACTTAATACGTTAATTCATACCAAAAAGAATTGCCACTACTTTAATGTAATTCATATTTTACCTTTTCCAGGGCACTATTATTTGGTTGATAATGGATACACAAATGCCCCTGACTTTCTAGCACCCTATTGGAATACTAGATATCATCTCCACGATTTTGGGGTAGGTAGAAATGTGGTGCAAAATCACGAAGAGTACTTTAATATGAAATATGCTAAAGCTCGTAACGCAATCGAGCGAGCATTTGGCATATTAAAATCTAGATGGGGAATACTAAGTCATATAATAATGGCTTGTTGCCTTTTATATAACTTCATTCGTACGACGAACAATCATGACCCCGAAGAAGACGAAGTTCTCAAAGAAGTAATTACCCCGAGCGATCACAAGCATTACGGTTTCATTGAAACTATTGAGGCATCAACAGAGCGGTCCTCTTGGAGAGATAGCCTAGCAATTAATATGTACAATGCATGGTTGAGTAGGGGTCAAGCTTGATGTTTATTTATTTTAATTTTATGTATTTGAACGAATATACTTTTCATATTCCCTTTGTTGAACATTTTTTTTAATTGTGTCTATCAGAGCATTGGTGTTTTATCAGTTTCGGTATTCGTATTATTATATTGTTTTCTAGTGTATTGGTTACTTTAGTATTATGAAATGTTTGATGAATTTGCATGTTGATTGCATACATGCGTTTTCACTATATTGTATTGTGATTAATGAATGCACGTGTTTTGAGATGAGTTTGGCCATTTTATGCAACAATTTAGGAAAAAACTATGTCTACTTCAATGTCTCAGAAGTCCAATGGAAAACGTAATACCCCGTCGACCATTAATAGGCGTAGTTGGTCCGTTAGTGAGGTACATGCTTTAATAGAAGCCCTTAAAAACATTGTTTCTCGGGGTTGAAAGTGTGATAACGGGTTGAAAGTGGGTTATTTGGGTGTACTTGAACAACATATGGTGCAACACTTCCCACACACTGTTCTTAGAGCCAAACCGCATATTGTCTCCAAAATTCACGTGTGGAAGAAGCATTACGGTTCATTATCAACTATGCTAACGCGTTCTGGTTTGGGTGGAAACTAGACTGCCAACACAATCGATGTGGCAGATGAATTGTGGGATGAATACACCAAGGTAAACATTATCTTAACTCATGTGATAATTTAAGTCATACAATACTTACACATAAATTTAATTTCCAAATTACCAATATATTTCATCAATTGAAAAGACCGATCCTAGTGTACGCGTTATGCGTTACAAATCATGGCCGCTATACAATAATTGGTCGGCAATATTTGGAAAACATCGGGCTACCGGTGAAAATGCACAAGTATCAAGTGAATCATGATGAGCTAGATGCTCGTATTGTTGACATGATAGTAGATATGACAAAAATCTTTGCCGAAACGAAGACTTGTCTTGGTGAGTTGGCCCAAATAATTGGATTAGAACATCCCGCAAAAAGGTCTTCGAGGCACTTTCGCCAATGGCCAATTTAACCGTTGATGAAAAAATCAAAGTGGCTAAAGCCGTATCCAACAACCTAAAAGAGTTGGATATTTTATTCGGGCTTCAAGATGAGGAGAAAATCGCACGAGTTCAAATGATTCTCAAAGCCCATTATTAGTACTACGTTCTTGACGACATTAAAGAGATTTTCAAACAGACCTTACTTTTTATATCTGTCAAGAGATGGCACTAATAGTTTATAATGTTTTGAACTTTGGACTTATTAATTCGAAAGCAAAAACTTTATTTCATAATATTTTGTTGTAACATTTGTTTCCAAACATTTCAAAATCAGGAAATAATGTTATATTGTCTACAACAATTAGTAATACATTTTTACTATGCCCATGGTGTTAACATTTTGATCCAAAGCTCGAGTACGGTCCGTCATATATCATCATCATTTTTCCTACTTCGGTTTGTCATACGGACGATAAACCACCGCAAACTCACTTGCATGCATTAAGAACCAATATTAATTTAAATAATATTGTCTAATCAAATTCGAAAATTATTGAAGTTACCTTGATTACATAGTTCCATACTTCGGATTTTGTATACACAATATTTACTTCAAGGCATTAGTCAATAACCGCACGGTGAGTAGCCACTTGAAGGTATTCTCACGCGTCTCATTTTTTTCTAACTTCTGCAAGCACAAGTGACAGCTGAACTCCAAATCGAATTATTTCCAATTGTCGCTTGCTTTGCGAGATTGTCGATAAAAAAATTGTCAACTCCTTCGTTTCAATCAAGATCGTAAAAATAATCTAGTTGGGTAGGTATACTCGTTTCTACCTCTACCATTCTGCTTGTAATATGTTTTTCTCTTTTTATTGTTTTTTTTTATTTATTTATTATGAGTTATCAAAATTAAGATATGAAGTGGTGCAATTTTTATAGAAGGTCACAAAACACTAATAATTTTGCTAAATTATTGGAGCAGAATTTTAACTTAAAGAGAGAACATAATCATTGCCATTTGTAAGGAATATATTCTATGCAGAACAATATTCTGACTTTATTTGCACATTGTATGTTCATCTCAAATGTCACATAATTAATAAAAAAAAATAAAAATATAATGTCTAATAATTTAAAAGAAGTATAAAAGATGCACGCACAAGACAAAAATGAATGAACCACATACATTTGTAATGTTGGTATAAAAAAAATCTAAAACAAAGTCCGAAAATATGGGTGAATGTTGGTTGCATGTTTTGGTGATGTATAATAGGTTAATGATGCTTTAGTAGTAAAAAAATTGTGAGGAAGGATGCATGCACTTTTGTTTTTTACTTATGTGATTATGTAGTTAAGTATGTTTTTGTTAGTGGATGTATAATATTATGTTATTTTTACTTTTATCTACTTTGTATAATTTTATATACTTTGTATAATATTATGGTGTGTTTAATATTATGTACTAGTTAAATCTGATATATTTTCTTCATAATATGTTTGCAAGTTAAAATTAATGTCGTATTACATAAGGTTTTGTTGTTCAAAATAATACTTCTTTTGAGGTCCAATAATTAAAAAAAAAAATTTACGTTCAATTAAACTTACCAAAACAATTGAAGGGTCCACTAACAAAACAATATTTTTGTTGTGGTACTGCAAAAGAAATATTCAATTAAAACAATTAAAGGGTTGAAAGAAAATAACATTACACTAAAGAAATGTGAAATATATATAGTACTTAACACACACTTTGGTACTGTAAAAGGAAGCTAAAACAAAATAAAACGCAAACAAACTTGAAAGAAAATTCAAAAGAAATTGAAATAAACAAGTATATTCCGAATCCGGAAAAATGAGGTCCATTACATCATACGTTCTAAGTATATGGTTTCTTACCATTAGCTTTCTCATCATTCGTGTTGTTCTCCATCCATGGGACGTTAGAGCCCGACGATCTTACACCATAGACACCGGGAAATTGCTTATATTTTGGCGTTAAAGCTTCTTTTAGTTTGAGTGGGCTCGGTCCTGCCGAAGGACACCGGAACCTCGAATGAGCCGCGCTATTCTCCGTGTTCAAAGACCCTTTGGAGTCGTAGTTGTGAGTAAGATAGTCCCACACATTGAAGAGATGTTGACGACTGTCGTCTCGGGGATCAGATCCGGTGGAGGTGCACGTGCAGGCTTAACATCTTCATCGTCCTCTGATGACACAACAATGACCTTTCATTTTGAGAATTTACTTGAATAGCGGGTTTGGAAAAAATAGTTTGTAGATCTTCCCATTTAGAGTCACTGTATTTACGGTATGCCCAGCCAAACGCGTGATCCTATACATTCAAAAAAAAAAATGGCATTAGTAAACGAAAAAACCAAATGAGTAGAGAATTCGTTTAGTATCTTAACAAATTTGGAATGATTACCTTCAATATTTCAGTCCATAGGTCATCTGACGCGGTAACGGCGTTAGTTGTTTGATTACACAAAAATCCTGGACCAGTGAGCATCCAACCGAAGGTGTCGTACCTCGTTTTAAGAAGAACAAACTTCTTAAGAAAATACTTTGCCTAGAAATATTTGCCATGTTTTTTTTTTGTAAAACACTTTATGCCATACGGATTGAGTCTCTCATTTTTTTTTTCCAGCAACAAAATCCTCCAAATGAGTTTGGTATGATAAAACTTGTATGAAAATGTTGTTTACCTTCTCATCCCAATCCAATTCGTACAAGAAATGTGTTTGTTTGAATATTATCGATTTTTCGGGTTTCCTTACTCCAATTTTGAGTGGAGGAAAGCTTGTTGTTGTTTTAGGGAGGAGGAAAGCTGTGGAAAAGTAATGGTGTGGTAACTCATGTGATTTTCGCATATGTACAGGGAAGAAGGGAGCTTATTGTTTTGCATTTCTTTCTATCAAACAATAATTATTATGTTGGACTTGTTAGTTGGTATGGGAAGAAAATATTTTGGCAGCAACAAGAAAATATTGTATGGCAGGAAAAAACCACAATATTCTCTAATCAATTATTCAAACCACTTGACTAAGGAAAAAATGCAGAACTACTTATTCAAATCACTAAAATTATTCAATTATTCAAAACACTTAAATTAGATGCGTAATTTCAGTTTGAGGAAACTAATAAAACCATGTGGTGCTTGATTATTTATTTAATTCCAGTGACATTATTATTCATGTTGTACTTGTAATTTCAGTTTCAATATACTAATAACATGTGGTGCTTGCAAACATGTTGTGATTATTCATGTAATATTCATTTAATTGCAGTCACAAACAATCTAAAACCAAATTGTCAGATCGTATATTTTAGTTAATTTGTTGGAATAACAAAGGAAGCAAAAATAATGAAAATGTGACGTTAACATTTCCAAAATGCAAGATCCCAACAACACAAGCATTGTGTTTTCTTACTATCAAAATAAGATACATTACAATACAACAACACCACTGGGGAACTAACTACGTGGCGTTACTAACATAATAATGAATATTACAACTATAGATATCATGTCATAAGGAACCTAATATGACCTTATTCCTTGTTGCAGTGATGTTATAAGTTACAACTCTTACTATGGATATCAATTATTTGTACTACTACATTGTGCACAACAACACACACATGGGAAAAAAAATAGGAAAAGAGGAATTGATGAACGTATAGCGATCTTTTTGTAGAATTTTGCTCTACGTAGTTTGATTCCCATCAGTTGCTTCAATCCTTCAATCCTTTCCTTTAATGCAGAAATCATGTCACTCGAATTTTCACAAAATTCACGCTCCACCCATTTGAAGAATTTACACTTCAAATCCTGCCCAAATTACAATTTCATTAGAACCAACAACATTCAACTGTAATTGTTATTTGATGCGCTAACAAGAATGAGAAATACATAATTAACAATAAGCGGATAATTGACAGATACCCTTACTTTCCTTCGCTCCAGACATGAAACAAACCGGCGTTCTGGACTGGTGCTCGTGGATGATGTCTTAACGGACAATTTCAACCCATAATAACATAACATCGGTTGCGTTTCATTGAAGCCACTGTAACCACAACCAGAACTACCTCCTCACCCCCTTACACCCGTAGAACTGTTGCTATTCATGACAAGATGGTAACCTCAACGCACAATTCGTACAATTGGAAAAAGAAGAATTCAGAAAAATGAGGTGTGCAGATGAACATAGATTTTGTTAATTTGGGGATAATATCTCAACTTATCAGAATACAAATCAACATCAGGTTATTACAAGTTATTTCTAATGAGACAACAAGGGTAATTTTGTATTTTCACGTTGTATTCTTAATGAATCAAATAAACCTAATATGAGATTGATATGGGTTGTGATTATCCAAATGTCCAGTTACGAGAAGCCGAAGATGAGCTACTTTAAGTATTACCTTTTTTAAACAGTACAGTCCAACATAAATAGTCATCATATCTTAACTCTTCCAAAAAATCAAAACAACCCTAAAGTGAAAACGAAACCGGTGGGGTATCAAATTAAAATATTATTAAAAAAAAAAAAAGGAATACTAAAATTAATATAGTATTTTTTTTCTTATGTCGATAAATGTAGTATATCATGTCGACCAAAATTCACCCGTAGTCATCTATAGATACGCATAGTCACTATCGTCACTTGCAGGCCTCTAAAACATGAATCACACTTCACCGCTCTCCCTCTGCTCATATATAGTACAATAGACTATTATGTACTACGATGCACTATGGTTTATAATACGATCCAGCCGAGTAGACGTGACTTGGAGAAGAAGAATTAATTAATTTCCGTATTTTTTTTTGAGATAATTTATTTTTTGCTATTTAAATTCCGATTTGTACTAGATTTATTTTATTTGATTATTTTCTTATTACAAATAAATTCGGAGTTATTTTTCTCGTTATATTAGGCATCTTTGAGACTTATAATAATAGAATGTTTAGGGCCGTTATTACTTGGACGTTATTATGCAATCATTTTGAGAGATTAAAATTCACTTTTCGTCATTCTTCAAAAACTTTTCGGAATTTTTGCAAGTGGATTCTTGTAATTATTCTTAATGACATTGTATTTGTATCTGGTTCATTATAATTACGGGGACAATGCTTCGACATTCATAATACTGGTTTCTAACTTTTTATAGCTACAGGGTCAATATTCCGAATTCCACCAATTGAATCATTTGTTTTTGGACGTTCCGTTATGTCTTATGCCTAAGGTAGTGGTCTCGTAACATGTTCTATGGAGTTTGTATCAGTTCAGTATAGATACTATTCATAACCTAGCAACCAACAACTCCTTCCCATCGCCTAAACCCTATTCACCAAACCCTAGCCATCGTCAAAGAGCCCTATGTTGATGCAATCGCCTCCCATCGTCGATCTGACATCACACTAACATCTCCAATGGCTATCGGCATAGCCACTGCCTCCCATTACCATCCTCCAATATAATCGCGACTACTACCGCCCTAACCGCCGCCATCGCCATAGCCACCGCATCCGCTACCGTTGTAACCACCTCCACCATACACGCTATAACCACTGCCTCTGCTTCCAACTTTATATCCACCGCCGCTCCTGCTATAACCTCCATTGTTGCCGGTCGTCGTGTCTGTGACTCGATCTAAGGGGGTCGTTGGCGTCGGAAAAGGAGAAATGGTAGAGTACGGAGTTGTGGGGGAGAGGAAGAACAAATAAGAGAAATAGATATGCAAATAATTTTTTGCTAATGTTTTTCTTTCTACTCGAATGTCCTGTCTCAAAAATTCAGAATTCGCAGTTTATATGTATAATTGAGTACATGTTGTTTATTACTAACCCGCCTAAGTTGAATCGGGTTGATTGTCCGCGCAACTCCGTTCCGCGAATGCTCCTACTTGGAACTGCCCAACATTGAGTCTCTTCAAGAATTGCCCATCACTTGTTTTTCTTTAAGCTTATATTTGTAAAGTAGTGTTTTCAGCTTTTGGCCTCAGATTTAATGTCTAGTCCAAATCATGTTTTCTTATCCAACCCAGATACCCATGCTGCATTTTGGCTATGGCCTATTGTGGCATGCTGCATCCCATAAACTTTATCCAAATATATTCCAACTACCATAATTTGATCCATATTCCAATTACATTCAGAATTTCCTATTTGCCTCAAAAAGAACAAGAAAAAAATTTATATATTCAAGCGGATGCATGCGACTGGAACTTTATACGGACCATGTTTTATAATCTTCGTTTAACGAAGTAAGAGTTTGATGAACTCGGAGAACTATTCACTCTGAAAAGACCAGATATATATTTATTTCCGGTCATTCGCCGTAAAACTAGAGGGAGTTACCAACTTAGTCATGAGATTTTCCTTGTCAACTTCTGTACCAGATGGAGCCAACAGAATTGTATTACAAACCTAGTACAAGCAGCAATCATATAGCTCTTACAAAACATTCATTAACATCTCTTATCAAAATAACCAAAAATAAATAGCCAAATTATTCAAGCATGAGAATTCATTACAATAATAGCCGTAATTGCCAAAAGATCAGCAACCTTATTTTGCTCTCGTAATGGAAAAATAAAAATAAAAAGTAAGTTCAATGAAAACACAATGTCGATTCTATACGGAACCCAGCCAAATGGCCCCTATCAATTTATTCGCCTTCTTTTTGTTTTTTTTCCGAGCATATCATTATCAAACCGTGAATCTTTCTACTTTTGTGTTTCGCCAAAACACTCAAACAACAAAATTCGGCAAAACATAAACGTCTAACGCGACATTAAACCAACCGTAAACACGACGCCGAAAAAATATAAAAACAAAAGTGCAGTAATTAGTCACATCACCTCACTATTCGTATCGTCAATCAAAATCAATCAGAAATCTGGCGCCTATTAAGAGCGGCCTCGAATCGACTACAAGAATCCGACCTCATCTCAGTGCTCATATCATTCTCCGGCGCCGGATAATAATCTTCCCTCAACTGAACATCTCTCAAGTCGGGTATCCTAAGCAGAAACATCATAAAATGCTCGTGCGCAGTCCCGTGTATGAACAGTTTCCTCAGCCCAAAACATTCTTGTAATAAACCGGCAGCTGGTAGAGACAAACTCCTCTGGTTAACATCCCGATCTTGCGGGGGCCAATAATCGAGCTCCCTCAAACTTAAATGCCCGATCCCGATTAAATAAAACCGCTCCCACAAGCTCAAATCCATCTGCCCCGAAGGTGCAGTGTGCGCGTATCCGATCGTCTCGCCACAGTCTAAATGCATTTTAGACAACCTAGGATAGTTCACAAGATTGCTCAAACCGAATTCTCGCTCGGAGGGTTTTGGTAATTCCCTACAATCTCCTTCAATCTTGATTCGTATTTCTTCAAGATTCGGACAGTTTTCGAGCCCGGCGTTTGTTAGTGGATTCAGAAGCTGCCCCACTGCTATCCATAGCGAGAGATATTTCAGTCTTTCCCATGTTCGTTCCCCGTATACATTGCCGTTTTCGTAGCCGTTTAAATCGGAAGAAGAGTTCAGATCGTACGAGTATTTGCACTTCTTGCTTGGATTCTCTATGGTGGCAGCATCGTAATAATCATTGTAACCGCGGCTTTCGAAGTGGTTCTCGTCGTTCGATACCTCGCCTTGATCGAAACTGTCGTTGAGATCGAACCCACTTTCGGTCCCGTCATCCCAAATGCAATCGATGTGAAGACTTTCGATCCGATCCTGTATGGGTTCCAATGCTTTCAACGACTGTTCCGCGCCGAGGTTTTTGCAGCAAGAGATTCTTACATCGATTAGCGTCCTGCGAAGCAAACTAGCCAGAGTTCTCATTCCTCTCACGGTTATATTCTTGCAGCCATGAACCTCGAACACGGACAACCTACAACAACCTCTGCCAATCGCAATCAATCCCATGTCGGTTAAATCGCCTACATTTCTAATCGACAAAGACTCGAGCCCGTGACAAAGGGCGATTCCGTCCAGCTTCGACTCAATCGGTAACGAAACACCGTGAAACTGACACAGTTTAAGAGACCTTAATTTTGGGCATTTCGAATTGAGCACCTCGAGCGCCGGACCGCTCTCTCGGACATTATTACAAACATCTAACACGAGCTCTTCCAACAGAGGAAGCCCTGAAAAAACCTCAATCAAAGTGGCAACGTTAATCTTTGCGTCCTCCTGTGTGAATCCATCGTGTTCCGGATCGCCTCTCGTGTTCGACAAAGCAGATGTATCGGCCAAATGAAGAATCGAAAGTTTCGGGCAGTTGACTGATACAGAAACCAAGGCTTCATCTCCGACAGAGCCCATATACCTCGGATCGAACATACAGGCGGCCCGAAATTCCTTCAGATTGGGACAAGCCTTGGTGATTGATTTAATCTCGTCGGACTTGAAACCCTCGGAGAACGATGGGTTCAAGAGATTGAGGCGCGTGAGATTGGATGAAACTGAAGGGCACGACTCCAGCGCGGGAGGCACGTCATCCGTCCAGCAATAGAAAGCGGAGAGATCGAGAGAATTGAGGTTCTTCCCGCACTCGGAGAACAGTATTTTGAGCTCGTCGCCGGCGGTTTCCACCTGAGGCCGCTGGTGCCATCTCACGAGCTTAAGGTGTTCGACGTTATGCCACTGAGAAGCTACTAGCTGAATGGTGGATGGGTTTCGTGCGTAGAAGGTGAGGGAGGTGAGAGAAGGGAAGGCGAGGCGGAGTAGGTGGGCGATGAGGGCGGGGTCGGAGGCGGAGGTGAGCGGGTGGCCCCACGGAGAGAGGAGCGAGAGGTCGAGGTGGGAGACGGATCGGAAACAGTTGGGCACCATGAAAAGGTCGCGGAGGTTGGCGCGGAGGGTGATGGAGGAGCGGGTGGCGCGCTCCAGGGCGTACCACTTGCTGCAGACGAGGGCGGCGGAGTTGCGGCCGCGGACGTCGACCACGGCGGCGATTATGTTCGAGAGAATCACGTCGGGGAGGTCGTTCAGGGTTGTGCCGGAAGTGGGCGGCGCCGCCATCTGAGCTGAGAGAAATCAAAATCCGAATCTGGATTGTGTTTGGTTGGTGTTGGGAATGGGATTGGATAAATTAATTGGATATCAAATCTTGTTTTTTTTTTTCTTTTCTTGATTTCTACGGAAAAAGGAAAAAAGAGAATATATTATATATCACAACTGTACTACTAATTGATGTGGATGAGGATTTGGAGGGAATAATAAATGAAATGAAGTAATTGTCATTTAACATGCTTTCTCGTATCTTCCTCTACTATGCTTCTTTACCTAATTCTAATTTATGTAGGGTAGTATTGAAGAAAATTTAAATATTTGATAATTAAAATGTATTGAAATAATTAGTTGTGAAATTTAAAATATCAAAATAGCATAAGAAAAAGTTAATTTGAAAATAGAAGATGGAAAATGTGAAATAATTAATTTTCAAAAGATTATAAAAAATATCATTTGGATTTCATAGGTTGGCCTATCGTTTCATACTTTTATATAAAACATTTATAAAACTAATTATTGATGGGTATTATTAGATAGTAGTGTATTGTCATTGAATATTTATAAATTTAAAGAAGTAAATAACAAATCTTAATATATATGATGCAGGATCACCTGAGATAAGTAGCTTGTGAGTAGCTAAATCAAGTTTAAAGTGCATGTTCGTTTGACCTCCAAAACAATTTAATTTATTGTACAATGTGTCAGAGACTTCCTTAGTGAATACACTCCAAATTTCAAGTCAGATGATATCGGGTGTTGATAGTAAATTTAATGCTCGAAAGCGATTAAGAAGAGAAGAGATTGTTTAATAAATGAAGGTTCAAGAGAGCATTTCACTAATTACTCGAATGCGGAATCATTTTCTTTTACTTTGTAGTTGATTTTAATTTTATATATATTAACAAATTCATTCAGTTTATCCGAATTGAAATAAAAAGGAATTTTAAATTTATGTCTCTCATTTGTTATTATTTTTTGAATAATTGTGGCGAATTCTAAATGCATATCCACTTACAAATCATTTCAATTCATTTTTATTTGGACTAATTTCAAATAATTCGTTTCAAATATTTCAATCCGAGAGGGCAACCTAAGAGAATTCACAAAAAAAAAAAGCACAAAATCGATAAAATATTGGTAATTTCCAATTAAAATAACATAAACAAAACTACAATATCTCCAAAACATAATAATTGAATTTCCTTAAATTACATTTTCTTCTTTAACTTTAAATGGATGGGCTAAATAAATCGAATGAGCTATGATGTAGCATGAACTTTTTTAAGTGGTAGTTGATTGGAGTAATGGATCATGGTTAACGTACAAGAATCCAAAATTATTTCAAATTGATCTATAAATATTTATAAACTAATAAAATTATGAAAGTCGTTAATTTGTTGTAGTTACCGAATCCATTACGAGACAACCGAATCATGAAAATATTTCAAATGACATTAGACAAATCATAGGGTATAAGCACTTGAAAATAAATTAACTTAGGCTCTAATTGGCTCAAGAAAATAGTACATAAAATAGTGAAAAAGTGATTTAAAATAGTTTTATTGTTTGGTTAATAAGTAAAATTCCATGTAAAATAATTTTATGAAAAATGTGGAACAAAAATTGCACTAAAACAGGGGAAATCGGTTTCCCTAAAAAAAGGAAATTGTGTTATTCTATCTCTCTTTTTAGCTATTCTTCTCATCTCTCATTTCTCTCTCCTCGGTCACCCATTCTCTTCTCTTTCTTATGTCTCTCTTTTTTTTTTTTTTTTTGATAATTAAAATACATTAATAAGGAAAGGAAAATATATATATCTCCTCTGTGTTACACGTGTTACACTGTTACACACATAAAATGTCCATCTTATTTTACATTTTACTCTATTCGTTACACGACACTTTTTTTGGGTTAGAATTTATTTTAAAAGAAAAAAATTTATCTCTTTTTGGATTAGAATTGATTTCGAAATAAAAATGATCCAAACAAAGCCTTAATTTTTGATAACAATTCATTTTTATTTTCATTTTACTTGCTATTTTTCTCTATCATTTTGCCTTAAGAACCAAACAAAACTAAGGAAAATGATTTTCCTCAAAGTTATTTTCATCACCATTTTTCTTAGAAATCAAACACAATTAGGATTTCAAAGGTTCTTGATTTCCTTTTCCTTTGCATTTTCATTTGCATTTTGAAATCCATGCATCAATCAGAACATTAATATTTTGGTGCAAATGAGAAATCTCAATTACACAAAGTTTTGTGGTAAAAAAATGTTGTGAATTTATTTTAAAAGAAAAAAATTTATCTCTTTTTGGATTAGAATTGATTTCGAAATAAAAATAATCCAAATAAAGCCTTAATTTTTAATAACAGTTCATTTTTATTTTCATTTTACTTGCTATTTTTCTCTATCATTTTGCCTTAAGAACCAAACAAAATTAAGGAAAATGATTTTCCTCAAAGTTATTTTCATCATCATTTTTCTTAGAAATCAAACACAATTAGGATTTCAAAGATTCTTGATTTCCTTTTCCTTTGCATTTTCATTTGCATTTTGGAATCCATGCATCAATCAGAACATTAATATTTTGGTGCAAATGAGAAATTTCAATTACACAAAGTTTTGTGGTAAAAAAATGTTGATGGCATTGTAATTTATAAAAACTTCTTTCTCATCTTACAATTGGTCAGCAGCTACATATATTTATTGGGTAAATTTCAATTTCATGCAAATAATACCGGAGATGTAATTAAGGGCCCGTTTGGCTATGCTTATAAGCTCTTATATTTAGTATGTTGTTTTTAGAGCCAATAAATTGTTATGTCTTATTTTTAGAATTATTTTTTAAATTGTTTGATAACGATCTTATAAGATATCTTTTTTCTCATTATAAATGCTCAGAGTAGACGCACTTAATAGAAAAAATCTTATTTGCTCTCAACGTAACTTGTTTTTTGAATTTTGAATTTTTTATTTTTCTCTTAAAAAACTAACAAACTCTTTAAAAAAACTTATAAACTTCTAAATATCTTCAACTTATAAGTTTTCGACAAACACTCTCTATCTCTAATAGGCAGCTTATGTACAATATGCTGAATTGGCAAGAAATTGAATTTACAAAAAACTTTGTCGGGATACGAAGTGGTCCACGTGAAATGATACATGTGAGTGAGGATCGGTGTAATTGAAATTGGCAGATTGGACAGTTGAAAACTCGCAACTGAGAGAGAGAGAGAGAGTGATTAGTTCAAGGGTAAATTACAAACACCCCCTTAGGTATGGTCAAATTACAAAAACACCCTTCTTGTTTGGGTAATTACAACCACCCCTCAACTCCTCAAATTTAGTGGAATCTTGGAGATTATATGGAATATTATCAATTTTGTACTCGTTTTATCCCATTCAAACTCTACATTATGAAGCAAGATGATCATAATATGTGATTTTTAGCTTGTATATATCAGTTTGTGGTGCATCAGAAACTATATTTTTACACAAAACAAGTACAAACTAGAACACATTTCACGGAATCTAGATGATTATGTTGAATTTGGCACCATAAAGGTGGAGGTGTAAGAAAAAATTATAGTTCAGGAGTAGATGTAATTATCCAAACAAGAGGGGGTGTTTTGTAATTTGACCATACCTGAGAGGGTATTTGTAATTTACCCTTAATTCAACTTTGAAGATGAGATCAAATAAGAAAAGTTGTTATGTTCTGCTCTTATTATTATATATTATCCACAAGGTGAAGCATATTTTCCAAACTCTTTCTTTTTTGAAAATTGTGGAATGTGGAGTTTGCATGGCTTTGGGCATTGGGCCCACCCATTGAATCAACCAAAGTTCTTTTGTCCTAATCCCACATTGAAGTTTGAACTATTGAGATGAACTCGTTTAGCATTTTGCAACCTTAATAAGTCTTTACACCTTCAAAACACAGCAAATAATTTATAATGTATACTATAATTTTTTTTTTCCTTTTTTTAACTTAATGAAGTAATTTTCATGTGCTTTATGGTTTTTTCTTTTAGGTACTATATACTAAATTGAAATATTATTTTTGTCTATCCTTCAAAATAATTTAGAGCGAATAACTTGCGAAAAAATTAAAAATCTTATCAAAATATTTTGGAAACGAAATTCTCACAAAAAAACAAAATAGAAAAAGGAGAATTCTCATAATTTTTTATCACCAAATTAAAAAAATGGGGCTATTTGAGAGAACCCCAATACTTGTACCAAAAAGGTGAAATTCCTCGTCCTTAGGATCCTCATTCTTTGGTCCGACAAATATTTGATAGAAAAATATAAATCATGGTGACTCAACAGCCTCTTAAGGTAGCGGAGCTGGATCTGGTGTCCACAAGAAATCATTCCTCATTGGAGTTGAAATTCGTACACTGCAAATAGAATGAGGCCCACTCAACAAACCACTCTTTGAGAAAAACCCATACTAATTCTCCTTCTTTTTAATCCCCAAATTGCCCTTCCACCATCTTCTTCCTTCTACTCTCATCCCAATTTTTGTTTTTCTTTTGTTTTAAAACTAATTTTTGTTTTTCCTTTTTTCCTTTTTTATTTTTAATTTTTTTTTTCTCTTCAGGTACATTAATCGACTATGAAGCATAACCGATTAAGGAACTGACAACTAAAAATAACAAAACACAACTACATAAACTCGAAAAATCATCTTTTTATAAAACAAGTAAGGTAGAAATGACAAATAGGCCCATGACAAGGGATATAAATGCACATAGGTGCAGACAAAAAACAGTCTCGCAAATAAACTCATTCCCATGTATTTTGTTCAAAATATCCCTCAAAATATAATTTTCATCAATTCAATCAATTATATTCTAACTTCATCAATATTGCATATTGACTCCAAATTGTACAAATATATCATATTAACCCATATTTTTTTTAATTTTTTGAAAAAATATTTTTTTTTTCAGAAAATAATTTTTTTATGATTTTTCTTCCGGTCAGATTCCGACGTTTACCGCACGGTTCTCCGGTGTTGACTTTTTTTTTTCTGAAACTTTTTTTCTCTCTAAATTACTGTAATAACAACAAAATTATTATCTGAGACATTAATATTGAATGCGTAAACAGTAATGTTACTAATACTACTGTCTCAAACAGTAATATTACTAATATTATTGTGCCGAACAGTAATATTACTGTACCAAACATTAATATTACTGCATGAGACGATAATATTACGGTCGAAGACATGAAAATTGCAGGCCGAAAAGATAAAATTAATTAATACAGTAAAATTATTGTTTC